GCAAGACTGCACCCTGCGGCGCCTGTCTGCAGCCGCACGTACCCTTGATCTCTGTGAACGACGTCGCGCAGCGTGTTAAAAGCGTGCTCCCGTCGGCAGTCTTGGATGGTGCTAAACTCAGCAGGGGAGAAGTCGTGGTTTTGCACTGCCCTCGGGTCTTTTGCCTTCCTGCTGTACGCAGTACCCGAGTATCTACTTCCCTCGTTGCAAAGTCTTACATATTCCTAAGGTAGGTAGGCCCGAAGCGTTGAGGCTTTGCTGCTCCCTCGACTTGGTCCCCCACGATGATGCCAACATCGAGAGAGCCTTGGATGTACTGGAAGAGAAGACGACTAAACGAAGGGCAGAAAAGCCGACTGCAGCGAGGAGGTTCTGTATGTACTAGGCCGAAAGGCACTTGCGCACATCCACAAGCCACATTTCCTTCCTCTTCCAAGACACCAAAGCTCTACCCGCCTGGTTGAGATTTGTCGCATCTTGATGCTCTCGCGTTTAGGCATAACGCATCACGGAAAGAGAACAATTCCCGAGTCCAGACCACTGGTCCTGCAAGCGAGGTGCAATGATTTGCTTGCGACAGAGAGGGCCACTAGACGACCAGTGTCATCCGCCCCGTCGGTAGACGGTGACGATAAGGACGGTAAGACCGGACCTGACGTCGTTGAATAGGGGCCGTGCGGCTCTCTTTCCATCTTCCTCCTGATTTCTTCGATCTCTTTTCTTCGCGTCTTCTATACAGTAGGCCTCTCAGAACCTCCGATTCCCTGAAAGAAAGGTCAAACAAGCCATCGTCTAGAGAAGTCCTCATCAATTGGAAATCCTGGTTTGAGAGTCCAAGGTTTGACTAGTCTTCACGATCATGACGCGGCAGGGACGCGGCAGCGGCAGCTTGAACGGGAACTAACGAGTTTTGGCATCCAATAGTGTATTGATATTACTTTAGTGTATATTGTAGAGAGAGAAAAGATTGTGCATTTTCCAGGTGGAAGAAAAGGGGGCTTGCTTTGACAAGCGTAGTAAGCCACGATGACGACTCTTTTGTGCTAAGCACACAGATCAAGAAGTCAACATGAGTCTTCAACCCCTCCATCTCCCCCCTCTTCGACCAACAACTACATATTTCTGCAAAGTCTTGACCTCACACGGTCCATTCAGGCATACGCCGGAGGCTCAGCAGCAGCCATCTGCCTCTTCCGCGCCGCGTTGATAGCCTTCAACTTGGCCGTGCCGAGACCAGCGACGCCGTTCTCCTGGTTGTCGCCCAGCCACGGCTTCTTGGAATCACCCAGCATGCTGCCCGCGAGGAAGTACGCAACCTGGCCGAGGATGATGAGCACAAAGGCGATGGGGTACATCCAGTGAATGGAGTAGCCAAAGACGTTGACGCCGATGATGATGCCCCAAAAGTTGCCCGTCAGCAGCGAAATGTTGTAAAACGCGGCGCTGGCCATGCGCAGCAGCAGGGGCACCAGGCTGTAGAAGAGGCAGAGCGCGAACGTGTAGCCGAGAAGGTAGCCGATCGCGGGGCCGTTCCAGGTGGCCTCACGGAAGGACTCGCGGTCAAAGATGGCGGCCTGGACGCCGTTGATGCACATGCCCCACATGCCCATGAAGGAAAGAACCTCGTAGACGGGCCGGCGGCTGACGAACCACTCCTCTGCGACGTTGGTCACACCGTACAGGGTCGCACCGAGGAGGGCGAAGAGGTCGCCTTTCACCATGTCGATCCCGGGACCACCGTTGGAGCCGGTGATGTGGTCGCTGGCCAGGAGGACGCCGCAGCCGCCAATGGCGACGATGATGCCGACGATCTGGAAGACCTTGTAGCGGACGCGGAGGAGGAAGAACGAGAGGATGATGACCACAACGATGGCCCAGAAGTTGAGTAGCTGGGCCGAGAGGATGTTGGTGTAGCGGTAGGCCAGGACGGTGAAGTAATTGCCCTCGACATCGAGGAAGGAGAGGATGAAGTACTTCCAGCCGTCGCGGAGGAGGAGCTTACCCCACTTCTTGAAGCCGTACTTGTAGATGGTGACGGGGAAGTAGATGAGGAATAGCAAGATGTAGTTGAAGACGGTCTGGAAGGCCGGGATAGAGACTCCGTTGTTGGCGAGGAAGGAGGTGAAGGTATTCGTCGAGGTGATGCACAAGGCGAGGATCTGGCCGATGATGAGGACGATCCAAAAGTCGACGGTGGTGAAGTAGCTCCACCAGTGCACCTTCCGGGCCTCGATATCGTGCAGACCCTGGCCTACGAGCTCGGACTCGTCGTGGCCGGCAGTGATCTGTGTTGTCGTCACCGGCGCGGTGTTGAGGTTCTTGGTGGTGTCGTCGTCGGCGGCCATGGCTGGCAACGGTGCGTATGCGTGGCCGGGGTCGGTGTTGGTATCTGGGGTTCTGGTGAAGGGTAGGCGCGGTAGCGACAGAATGGACTCGAAGCGAAGGGATGCGATGCTAGGCATACAGCGACCTGGGGTGAGGTTAGTCGTCTACCTTATTGCCTTTGCCACACGGAGATGTGATTGGGGACCATCTGATTTGCCGGGTTTATTCTACATACCTTAGTGCGCACACGAGGGTATTCAGACGGTAAATCGTCTGCGCGAAACAACCTCAACTCTCGGTAGAGTGTCGTTGTCGCGATGTGTGGTTATTGATATGGATTTGTAGTGATATTAACTGCTCTGGTCTTTCTCGTCCCCTGGCAGCAAGCGCAAAGACTCAAGTCGCTCGCTGTTTTGTCTATCTTACGATAGCACGGCACATGGACGATGCGCCGAGAAGTGGTATGCGAGGAAGTTGGCCGAGGCGGCGCGCAACATATGATGATCGTCGGAGGGGTTCGAAGCGGTTTGCTGATGCCTTTTGGTCAGGCAACGCGTGTTGTAGTGGATTTGGTATCGGCGCAAAACTTTGCTTCGAGCTGTCGCAAAAGAGGGAGGGGAAGGAGGAAGAGGAGGAAGAATGCGACGAGATGGTTGGAATTTTATCGCGGCAACATCCCAGTCGGTAGAGAACCAACAGCCCAGCAGAAAAGAAAGAAAAGAAAGAAAAAAAACTTCAGCTGCACTATCGCCCTAGGGAAGATGGTGGTGGTCGGGATGCAGCAGTGGGGAGCTATCGCAGTCGCCACGAGCCTTGAGGGGCCACGGGGGTGGGAGGCCCCGCCAGTTTCCTTCTTCATGTGACGCTCCCGCTCGCCTGACTGGTCCGGCACCTCAGAATCACTGCGACCGCTGCACCACCGCTGTACCGCAACCGGCCCAACATGGCGGGACCGGCCGATTTTCAACCATTTTCCCACCCACCGGGCCACCGCCTTCCCTCCCAGTGGACGGCGCGCCGGCCAAGACGTCCTCTTTTGGGGGACCTGATCCCCGTCCGTCAGCGCACTTGCCCGGGATCTGGGTTGCACATGGCCCGTGTTGGCGTGCTTTTTGGGTGCGGTGGTGGGGTACTGCAGTGGGCGGCAACCGCGGGCTTCGGGGCAGGGGTCTGACGAACACTTGAATCTTTCCGAAGCTCTTCAACCTTCAACTCTTGAGTTCGTCAACAGCACTGGATATTCGGTTACGATAGTATAAACCATACTCTTGACCAGATTATCAATTGGTCATCTTGCAGAGATGCCTAACGCCGTGTTGATGTGCTCTAGAGTTCTCCGGTCCCAGCGCATCACACAAAACCGATTACCAATCTTGCGCGTCTTTGGGCACGGCTTGCAATATGACGAAACCCTCCTTCACGGAAATTGAGATGATCTACGATTACTCTATCCTGCTAGTTTGCTCCATGCCTGCCGCTACCTATCGATGTCGCAAGCGATGGAGCAAACATACAATAGCATATAGTACATAAAATACCGAAGCGATCGAGACGACCGACGCGACCTTCCAGCCCAAGACAAGCACTTCCCAGAAAGTCATCCACGCGCATAAGCCATGCAGTATGAACCCTAATAGCCAAAAGACTATGGATCGCAAATAACGGCCCATTGTCCCAACAGGAGGTTCCATCCAGTCAGGAACTGTCAACCCGAGTAGTATGATAGCGTGTCCGGCGAACGGATAGCCCAAGAGAGCGAGGTAGAAGACACCACCGTCGGTGAACAAGTAATGCGTAGGGTTCGAGTCAGGATACGCCCAATCGGGATACTCATGCTTCAGGTATACGGATAGAGCAACGAATATGTAAGTTGCGCGTCGGAAGAGAAAAACAAAGGTGAACACCGATCACGACAAGACTCAAGACCAAATAGGGAAGCATCCACTGCACGTCAGAGTAAGAGTCCCCGGTATCAGCGGATGATAGAGGCGCGTGACTTCTATAGCCGGCCCGATCAAAGTCGAGCCCTTCCTCGGAGTTCTCAGGGTTCAAAGGTTGCCTCTCCTGGCTAGATTTTTGCGACGTTAGCGACGCCATCAGTATCGATGTCGCACCGTCCCCTTCGTCATGCTGGACTTGAGCAACACTCGGCGCAGTCTGCGAATTTTGGCCACGAAGCTGTGGAGGATCCGCATTGTGATCCTGACAGTCTGTATGTGTTGGCTCTGAAACGAATGGGGCAATAAAAGTGAGTATTGGTGCCACGAGCAGTAACACTGGAAGCACTTGGCCGAATTGCCACGGGCTGCCTCCAGAAGAGTCTTCAGGGAGTTGACATAAATAGTCCCACTCTTGTACGACAATTATTGTCAATTTTGAAATGCTCTGGAGCAGGATGACCCATAGCCATAGTATCTAGTTGTCAATGTCAGTCAAGCTTTGCGGTCGCGTTCTAGAGGCACGGCATACTTATCCCAGCATGGAGTTGAACAAGTCAGCTTGGGTACGAAACAGAACAACAGCTGCTAAGACGGGTCTGGTCATGACTCCGTACCGGAAAGAGCCTAGATCCTCCCCTTTGGAGGCTGTGTGTCTCCTTGAGCTTGAATAGACTTCCAGTTTTCGCAGCAAACGCCTAGCCAAACGACCTAAGGGGACATGAACGATCCGGTGAAGCTGTTCAGATAGACGAGTCGAGAGCTTGATTGACCTTGCGAGAAACCTAAAGCTAATGAACATCTACGAGATGAGCATTTCCACGAAAGCAGATGTCTGAGTGAAAGGTATAACGGGGTACTGTGCTTGGTAAAGTCCTATCCCGCAACTTATGGAAAAGAAGCAGATGGCAGGGTCGTTGAGGTCAGCGGCAGAGTTGGAGCCCTTTAACTTTACGCCCCTTTCCCAATTGAAGAATGCCGTCGGCACCATTGCCACAATGAGCATGAGCAATAGTACGAGCATAAACGCTAGACGGCTATATCTCGCCCACGATCGCTTTTGAAAATATCTTCTCAAGACCGTCAAGCTTAATAGATGAGTAACACAAGAGAACAAGGCCAAGTACACCGTCATTTTCCAGTGTATTGACAGTAAAGTCTTGCCTAGAGATATAAAGCCGCTAGCAACTATGCCTAGCCCTGTAAGCATTTGGCGTCGCACATGCTTAGAATACTCTAGAACAGATTTGCTTTTAGTCATGGCATCCGTCGTATCTTTGACGGAGCTGATGAGAAGGAGTCTCTTACGTTATCGAAGCCAATTCGGAGGCGCTCTGAACGGGCTGCGCTAGAAGCTGGTACTGGGATACGGCATTCTCTGAGCGCTTCCCTAGTCTGAAGCCTCAACCAAGCTAATAGTTTGACATCTATTGGATTCGGTTCCCAATTGACTGGATTCACTGCTGTGTCTGTGACACTGTTTAGGACTGATAGAACTCGTCGCATGGCAGTGAGAATGCTGTGGATTTGTTGCGGTGGCGCAATTCTCGGGTCATACGCAATGAAGTAGTTGACCAGAAGGAGAGCGAAAACAATGTAAGCTGTACCGACAAAACCAATAATAAGCTTGGGAATAGTTGTCAAGTCAAACTTTCGATTGCTGTTGAACTTTGCAGAAGCAGATGGGAACGTAATCTTCATCACGCAGGAGACTTACGCCAATTCCTCCTACATCGCTGGTCGGTTTCCATGGGTTGACGCCGTTGCCGCAGTTGACGTCTGCAGGACATCCATTTATGACCATTGTCAACGAAAATTATAGACCAGACGTTCGCGGAAAGAAAGGAAAAAGCGATGTTATTGCTTTTCGGACCGACAACTCATTCAGAAGGCTAAGAGTTATAACACTGCGTCAGATAAGAAGTTGGAGAAGAGACTGGAAGACGACTTAGCGAATCTTGACCTCTTATGTGCGGATTCTGTTCAATGTATGATACACCATCTTCGGCTTTGGCTGACATCTGTACAACCATGCATTCAGCACCGCCCGCTCCAAGCTCGTGCTTCTGCATGAGAAGTTGCCAGTGTTCGGATAATTACTATCAATCACGTTGAATGATTCAGCGCTGGCCACCTCTGTCATGGTGATGGCAATCAGGTTGACCTATGAGAGCAAGCCTGATGACCTGTATATGGCCGAAATGGAATCACAGGAGGTCCTTGGCCTTCCAGCCGTTCACGGAATCATTCAGCCTGCATAACGGGCACGCAGGACTCTCGAAAAATCAGAAAAACTTGATAGCGAGACGCCGCTTCTGACCACAACATGGATGGATCTGCCTCAAACCATAGACCTTGAGTGATTATTAACACCGAATGCGGCCCCACATCGGAACAGACGGCCGTGTCCGTTGACTCGGAGCCAGCCGAAGCTTTACCTCCCCCATCTTGCCTACTTCTCCATAGACTTTGAGGAAACGAAACTTGTGCAATCCCATGCACTCTCTGACTATTGAATGATACTCAGCTATAGTCTGTCGATGATCAACTTCTGTCATCTTGCTCGTTACTTCACTTTTCCGCACTTCGCGTCTCTTCAAAGGACGCCTAAGGGACCGCGTGTTATCTCGACCGTGGTGCTGCATTTGGAGCTACTGTATCTTTGCCCGCCCTTATAACTGTAAGCAATCACAATTTGGAACATACACAAATACAGCGATTGCCTTGGGCAGCATATCGTCACTGGTCTTAATAATGAACAAACCCTGCGTGTGCAAACGTCAGTAATGGCGTCACAAGCGAAGCTTTTGCCTGGCATCGCCTACCTCCATCCGATCATAGAAATGGTCTTTCTCGTCATGGAAGTCTGGATTATCTCCTGCCCATAGTATATACTAAATGCGGAGCGAAATGGCAGCGAAAGAGAGGTGGTTATGAGAACGTAAGTTGCCTACTGATCTTTGTGTATTTGGTATATTCGATTAAAAAGTATGTTATCCTGTGTCTTTGGTTAGACAGTTGCGCCAACAGCAACAAACCAGGCCATGATCATGAACTTTTTCTTCTTCCCAGTTCCCCCGCCCATCCTCATTAAGTCTAGACGTCCTGTTGCTTTAATTCATCCTACACATACAATTCCTATGGCGTAGTTTCGTCTACATAGTATGTGCGTACATGCTACCCCTTCCCAGGAGGCATTTTCTTTCCATAACATCGTCAAATGTCAACTCCTTTACAGAGCAGCAACGATGCCAGCAATGGCAGCAAGGGCAAGGCCGCCAACGGCGACACCACCCTGGGGAGCGGCGTTGCCGGTGGAAGAAGCAGTGGCGCTGGCACCGGTGCCAGTGCCAGTGACGGCAGTAGAGGCGGTGCGGGAACCAGAGAGGGTGGCGCTGCTAACGGAGGCAGTGGCGTTACGGGCAGAGGTGACGATGGCAGAGGCGGAAGCAGAGGCGGAAGACAGAGCAGCGCTCGCGCTGGCGCTGACGGAAGCGAGAGCAGAGGAGACGGCACCGGAGACGGAGGCAGAGACAGAGGCGGCGGCCGAGGAGGCAGCAGCGGAAGCGGAAGCCGCGGCGGAAGTAGCGCTGGGCTGGGCAGAGCCGGCGGTGGCAGCGTAGGCGGCGCAAGCAGCGGCGGCAGCGGACTGGGCCTTGCCGAGGTCGGCCGAGTTGCAGGCGGCGAGCAGGCAGGAGGCGGCGACGGGAACGAGGGCCTCCTGCTTCTCCTTGGTGCACTGGCAGGCGGTGTCGGTCAGGGCGCAGCCGACCTTGGGGATGGCATCGGTAAGGCAGGGAATCTGAGGGGGAGGAATGTTAGTTTGGGGTCATAGGGATGGCAGAAGGATTGTAACGTACGGCGCAGGAGGGCTGGCCAGAGAAGTCCTGGGCGACGACAAGGCCGGCGGCAACGAGGGCGAGAGTGAACTTCATTGTGAACGTTGTGTGGTTGTTGTGAGTATTACACGGTATTAGGTTGATATATCGGGTAAGATATAGGACGTGACGAGGTGGACGACGTTGAGATTAGTGGACGTGAAGTTGAGCAAGACAGGAACCAAGAAGAGATATCCAACGCCGACCCGAGAAGACGGGATGGGCCATAAATATGAGTCCAACGCGCGCCGGCAAGCCACCACGCTCCTTCGGGGGAGACAGAGACAGGAGCGAGCGAGTGTGAGGGACCCCTGGCCTTGACTCTGAAGCTTTTCCCCTTCTGCCCTCTGCTCGCAAAAAGCTTATCCCAAATATCCGCACCGCGCAGCGGCGGGCGCGCGCGACGGCGGCGTCTCCAATATCCTTTGGGGTGGACTCGTGGAGGGTGGAGGGTTACGTTAGCTCCGCTTGGGGAGGCGTTAGCTTTTCGCTTTTCTGCCGGGGCGACGCGACCTTGACTGGCGAGCAAGGGGGGTGAACCTGGACCTGGATTCATTCGACCTATAGCTAGACCCTAGGCTACGGACCGGGTTCTGGCCAGGAACATGCAACCATGATCTCTTTGGTCAATGGCAAGTTGGCTCCGGGTGGGAGAAGGGTTGGCAGGGGCACACGAGACGGGGAATCAGCGTGATCATTCTCGAGCTGGGCGAGTGAACTGATTTGTGGCGCTGGTGATTGAGGTGACATCCAATTGACTCTTCTGGCTCCAATGGCACGTCAGCGAATTGCTGTACCATGTATCCCTTTTTTCAAGCTCATTCGAGCAACGGGCTGGCGCACAAGGAGCTGGATTCTCTGGCGAGGTTGTCCACCGTCCAGCTATCTTACTGTCTAGCTATCTAGCTGGTCCACGCTGTCTCGCGGTCCGTCCGCCCGTCTAACCAACTCACGCTTCAACTCTCTAGCTCGTGTCCTGACTCTCGATTGCCCGTCGACCTTGGCTTAGCGTCCAGCCTCATGAAAAGTGTGACAGCCGAAAGACGACTACGAGACGGACGAAATACGGGCATCTGTGCGTTTTGATTGGATGGCAGGTGGCTTGAGCCCAACCGAGAACGCGCTGAGCCGGCTGGCTGTGCTGAGACAACCATCGGATTGAATCGAGTTGCCTCGACTTGCCCATCATCTGCCCTGTTGCGTCGGCACTTTTCCTTCCCATCAGTCCTGCTTTGCCCCCGGTGGCCTCTCGGAGATTCTGTTAGTCAGTGTGTCTGCCACTCTCACTATCTTTAGCTAATCAGCCGCCGGGCAAGCTATCCGCACAGAGATGGAATAAGTTGCTAAGGCCCGACAAACCTGACGCGTCGCCGTCTTGGTAGTAGCAAAAAAGCACCCGAAAAGAGCGAGTTGATGGCCGGCCGGTTCTACGACCTGAGTGCCGGGCTGGCATGACATCGTGCGAGGTGACATGCGGGACCAGCAGACCAGGGGCCAGGGGTCAGTAAGAATACCTACCGCACGGGGAAACCCAAACCAGAGAGACCAATGGCCGTTTTTGCCGTCCTGGTGACTGTGGGAAAGAGGGAAAAGAGAGAAAGGGCCCCACGGTAAACACCTGATTTGACCAATTTCATTAGAGTTTGTCACCGGCAATATGTTCCTTGCAGCAAAGAAACAATGAATTACTCTATTCTGCAGGTTGCCTAGGCGCCTTCTGGTAACTCTGTGGCCGACGAGACTGGGATACATACGGTAGAGTTTGTGATTAATTTTACTGAGAAGGAAAGAGAAAGGTTAGTTAGAAAGGTAAAGAAACATTGAACCTTCTAGACTTGCCTTATCAGGCGAGGGGTTTTCTTTACTCACTCACACTCATCTCGGCTGGTTGACTCGTCACAAGAAAGATGGCGCTGCCGCGCTGCCCATAGACACCCTGCCGCTCTCCTTACACAGCGGCTGCGTACAAGTAGTCGTTTCTTCTGACCGCCAACTTTGCCATGTGTTACATACCCTATTCATACTCCGTAGTTGCAACCCAGCAGCGAGCCCGTGGAGTAAACACGAACGATATTAATAACAGCAAGCCAGCTGTTCGACGACTTGGAAGCTCCCCCGACCTTCGGCTACCAAATAAAACGTGGAGTTCGCTTCGGTACCAACGTTCGGACCTCTAGCTCCCAGTCGCTGCTCGACTCACAAATGGTTGTTCCTTGGAAATCTTCCTTGCGCTGCTATGCCGATCCCCGCTGGCAATAAACCCACTCGACACGAGCTCTGATCCCCGTCTTATTGTGCCCATGTTTGTGTCGTGCAACTCCCCGCAGCCATCCTCTTGTGGCCCGAATATCAACAATCGATGAAGCGTTTCTTTGTTTTTCTTCCGGTAACTCTGAGCAATGTCCGACTTTCTCCACTATTCATATTCTTTGCTCACACGCGAAAGCTCGTCCCGTTGAAGGTCGTATCTGGCTGCCGTGCTCACTCTCCGCCCGGCTGGTCATGTCTCGATGAAGCATTCGATCGTTAATGCTCCGCAGGTTGGGTTGGAAAGTCTCCGAGGGGTATTGAAAGGGCTTCCGGGGTTGGACTTTGATTTCTCGACGGCATGCGATAGCTCTTCTCGACAGTTCCGACAGTCCAAGGCCGACCACGATGATGGTGAACCGAGCGTTGAGCAGATGTTGAAAGCACTAAAGTCATTTGAGGAGAACTTATTTCGACACAATCATCTATCCTTATAATCCAACGCATTTCCTCCCATCGATCCTGACCAAACCAGATGCCCAATTGAAGTCCTCCTTCAAGCTGCTTTGGATGTCACTGCTGCATTGCCGGGAGCAATGCGGTACCCATCACTAACTGTCATGACGAGCGAGCCTTTGTTGATCATCTCCCACGGGTTCCAGTAGAATTTCAGACCTGGTTTCTCCTTCTCCACATTGTACACACGACCAATGAGAAAGACGTCTGATGGTGTCTTGCCATGCTTGAAAGCGTACTTCCAGGCCTGCATTCATGTTAGCTTTCCTCGATCTCTGATGAACCTGGAAGTCAGTGGATAAAACTTACCAAGTTCATTTGGTTCTGGCTGAAGTGAAAGGGTTCTTCGAATTCACAGACCGTTCCCTTGACCTCGATATGATACGTAATCGTGTGCGAAGACCACGATTCGCGAACCATTCCAATGGCCTGGGGTATCTTCCCCTCCGTATCAGTGTAAGTGAATTTAACACGCCCTTATCCCAATGTACCAGTCCTGGTCGATGGACCTGTACACCACACCGGGTGGTTCACCCGAAGACTCCGGTGTTGAGACCATCGTGAAGATCTTCAAGTTTCTCATCGTGTCTCGTAGGGCATCATTGACTTGGATCAGACTCGGTTGGCCTTTACCCAGGGATTCGCTCAAGGCAAGGATGGTTATTTTCAACAAAGAGTGATCTCGTGAGGAGCCCGGAATTTTGTCGACACGAACAAGCTCTTTGACTATTTCAGCGACACTCACATCCGCAACTCCGAGCGTGCGCTGAAAAAGCTCAGCACTGGCAGGATAGATGTTGGCGAGCGCCAGAGAGTTTGGGAGATAGCTTAAGCCTTGCCAGACGCAGGTATCCAAGGGCACCCAACCGCTTTGCGGGTGGTACACTAACTCCATGACGGATCGAAGCTTATCTCTGGAAGTGTGTCTGTCAGCTTCGTCGTTTGGGACTCAATAGCTTTTGTACTTACTTTGCATCCCCCTTTAAGTTGCGGCAGTTCTTGGACAGGTACGTGTAAATTTGTCCTACGGCCCCCAGAGTCTCTGTGCCAATGCGCGACGAACGGACTGCCTGAAGCTCTTGCATGTAGGCCATGATGTTGACTTGGGTGGTTACCGAGAAGTTCGAGAAACATGACCAGTTTGCGTTATCTGGATCGGGAAACTCTCCAAATGCGAGAAGAGACAGAGATGGCACCGCAGTATCCTTCAGTTGCCGCTCTTGACCATCTCGGCAAGAGATTTTCATATACCGGACTTCGTGTCGCATGTAATGGAGATCTGAGCGGTAGTCCTTCAACAAGTGATCTCTGAGGAGTAAGAGAAGCCCTTTAGGATCTTTGGCGATCAGCCAACGGCATTCCCTGCTAAGCGTCATGTCCCTGAGGTCCATATCAAAGAACGTCAATCTTGGGAGAATTGCTATTCCGCAAGAGGACTGCAACCATTCGATGAAGGGGTGTGTCTCTTTCTTTGGCGCTGAAGTCTCGCCAGTCAACCTGGCTTCAAGTTGGAGATCTTCTGCTGCCATCGCTATGGCTGTTGAATCTTCGAGAGTTACGCTCTCCCTAATCGCAACCGAGTAACTTGCCCGCTCAAGGTATGCTGGGTGCAAAACTATCATAGGGGCTTCTGGGCTACTAACGTGTTGGCTAAGAAGGTTAGGAGGCGCATCTGGGTCGACGTAATACACATATCGGGCGCGAGTTGGGCTAAGATCATCATCGGTTTGGACCCAGATACTTTTCAGGTCCCTCGCGTCTCTCAAGCCGACCAGCAAGTGTTGATGGAGGAAGAGATATACCATTCCTTCTACCAGGCAATCTAGCGAGCGTTGGTCATCGCGTTTTTGCTTCGTGCGGTGATCTCTCACAATCCGTTCGCATATGCTTCTTTTCCATAATTCGTCGATTCCACGTCTTTGAAAGAGGGCCTCTCTGCGATGATTGTCACGAGCCTCGGGGTCCATGAGGACGAGCTCAAGACCTCTGGGGGCACTCCAAGCCACTTCCCGCGAAGCTAAGTACAGGTAAGCCGTTGAGGGAGCAACGAATGATCCATTTGTTGTAGGTAGAAGTGGTAAATTGCGCAACTTCGCTTTGCATTGTCCGCCAGCGACAAGAATCGCCGATATTTTTCCATGCCATTCGGTGGATTTGGAACTAAGATCAGGCTTTTCTTGAGAGACCCAGTCGCAAGATTCGGGAACGAATCTCTCCCCATTCATAGGTGTTACCCCAAGACGAGCAAGGCCTAGAGGTAGGGAGTTCTGTGGTGTGTATTCGGCAGCTAGATGGCCAGCTCGCTGTTTCGGGGAATCGATCAAGGCTGCATTGTTGAGGCAGAAATCGGGTGGAAGAAGATCAAAGTCTCAGGGACTTGGAAACACCCTAAACGGCTTCGAAGAATTCGAGAAGACTTGAGGCAATAGACCAGTTTGGCGTCGAGACTATCCCAGAAGACGTCGCGAGATGGGGTCCGCTCTAAGTACTGTATAGGATCGCCGATCTTGTTGAGTCTCTCGACCGCATCCCCAAACGCGTTTATGACCGCTTCTGCAAGCTTGTTATTCCACGCGTTTCCTTCGGGAGGCGCTCTCTGTCTGCGAGTAAAATGAAATCGCTCTGAATCAGGAACTGTGCGCTTGGTTAGTCATTTTTGAGGGAGCTTTGATGCGCAAATCTTACCCGAAATCCGTAATTCCCAATTGGTAGGAAGGTAAAAGTTTGCTGCTCGTGAGCGATGAGACTTCCATTGTCCTTCACTGGGAATGCCAAAGTTGCCTGTGACTGGTGTATGTTCTTTCTTTGGGATTCCGATGGCATCTCATCCACTGCTCTCCGAACGATAATGTACTTGGTCTTTTTCTTTGACTCTGTGGAACTCTTCCTTATGACGACAGATCTCACTTCCCCTTGGAGTTCTTCGTCATGGCTTCTGTACGTAGCTTAGTACTCAACTTCCTCTGTTCCTACTTGGACAACGATATGCCTCAGTCGACGGAGAAAGAGCAAGACTTCTGATTTCATCTTGCGCAGATCTTTGGCGATTTTCCCATGATACTGCCTGTCACCAATCCGTAGTATCATTCTTGTGGTTCCTGTGTCATACTTCTGTTTGATGACTCGGGAAGGTACTAGTAGCATTACTCCCAACATGTCCCCGGTCTTGTTGAGCTTGAAGTGGTAAAAACCAACGGAGATTTGAACGGCACTTGCAACCTTGAAAACAGACTTGAAGCCTATAACTTTCTCTCCGATGTATCCCGAATGAACATCTTTTTTCGACTTCTTCGTGCTCTTTCCGATCCAGCAGAGGGCGTCAAGCTGCTCCAGGGAAGACCCATTCTCGTTGCACCCGGTCTCTAGGTCGTAGAATTTCTTCCCATTAGCATCAAGTAAGGACTTGAGAGTCAATGAGAAGCTCGGGAATAATTTTTGGTTGATGACCGCCGAGTAAGGTAGTCATTATCGTCGGCATTTTGAATGAGCTCCAAAATGAAATGGGTTGGACTGCTGTACAGCTGTTCCGAGAGAAGTTTCAGTGCTTCCCCCAATTGTTCACCCGTGAATCCATCTGCTTGGCCCCTCTGCGCGCGTCGTTTTCGTTCGTAGAGCTTCTGCAGTTGAGCGTCTGCCTATTTTCGGGACCGTGGTAGCGTTGGCGGCTTCATGCAGGGCGCGAAGGCGACTTCTCGCCACACCGGTGTGTGACGGGCTTTTCGGAGGAAGTCTTGGAGAGGCCTGAGAGAGTTGTGTATGAGGACTCAAAAGCCCAACAAAAATTCAACTCAGCGGCCGAGAATTTCGGATTGGGGCAAGATCAAGACGGCGGTGAGGTGAGAGTGGTGAGGTGAGTTGAAGATGTGAGTTGAAGATGTGAGTGTGAGAAGATGAGTATGAGAAGGTAGGTGTGAGAAAAGGAGAGAAAAGTCTGGGAGATGCCCCCGAAGAGGGAGATTTGGTCGTAAGTAACTTCCTCACGCGACGTGGACTTACTGTTTCGGAAAATTTGCGCGGCCTTCGAGATCAAAGAAAGGCACGAGGTCGTGGATTGAATAGCTGTTGAGGAAGGAGCCACCCTCGCGCTTGCTGCCTGACGTGTATTCCCTACTTCATGGAGAGGATTGCTTTTTCAAATTTAGGGCCTTGAAAAAGCTCTCATGTACTGGTGTTTGATGAGCCAGGCATCCTCATACTAAGATGGCTTTCACATATCTCACGTATGAAACCTGGTACTTGATTGACTTGATCGCTCTCGGGAAGGCCTAAATCTAAATCCCAATGTTTGGTATCGCATCACGGTCATGGGGGATGAGATTTAGTTCAACTCATAGAACGAATTGAAGAGGATGTCCCTACTGCTGTCCAGCATCTATCGCATGTAGTCGTACTGCCCGGTCTGCCTCGCGTTTGAAGCGGAATATGCCCCCCCCCCCCACGTCACTTAACGAAAAGCACAATAAGTTGGTGAAGTCTGTATATTACAGTAGACTACAAAGGTCTTGTATGTAACCGCGATCCATTAGCCCTCAACGGCTCCGTTGTCAACACCTCTCACATCCCCGGCCGTTCATCCAACATCTCATCATAGATGTCATTCGCAGCCCATCCATCCTTAACCTCCTCATTCCCACTTTCACCTTTACTCTCCGCATCCGGTTGATCCTCATACATGTTGCCCCTAAGATCCTCCGCCGATCCCCAGAAAGCGGAAGCGAGATCACTGACCCCTCGGAGGACTCGTCCGTGTACTTCGACGAAGGGCCATGTCTCAGCAACACAACGGGCAGCACCACTAGCAGCGGAGGCGAGAGCGGAGACGAGATAGCCGAGGCCCGCGCCATCCCGGCCAGTGTCCTCCTCCACCGGATCGTATACCCGATCGAATGTCGGATCGTATAGCGGCGCGTGGTGATGACCGACATTGAGATGAGGTTGATGGTGGTGGCATCCATATATCATAGGAGCATCTTCCCGTGGAGCTGCACCGTTATCCCGGTCAAAAGACCTACCAGTTCCCAGCCAATACTTGACCCACTCATGACCAGTCTCCTGGAATTGGCAGAAGACCGTGACGTTGCCATCGTCGTCGATGAGATATTCGTTCCAGAGGTGGCTAGGGGTCAGAATCCGACCAAATGGCATGCCATTATAGATATCCCGCGGCACAGGATTCGCTTCCAGGCAATTGATGACCCATTGGCGGAGCTGCTGGTCGACGTATCTGCCGTCGATGTCGAGATAGAAAGATGAGATGTAGTACATCAGACCATCGTAATGGATCGCCTCCACGAGCTCCTGAGCCTCGGCGTCATTCAGAATGCCGCGGACGCGACTGAGAACGGACATTTGGTCCCAGTTGATCCTGTTCAGCGTGTAGTCCAACCCCATCTGGAGGAAGTCGCGACAAGTGACCTGTTCGCCCCTTGCATGACTATACGTCTGTAGCAAGACGTCGTAAATGTCTCTTACACCCCATGACTCTCCAGGGGCGTCATGTTCCAGGCTGTAGTTGGCGACCCGCACAAAGAAGTCGTCGACGAGAGACGGAGGCTGTGGCTCATCTGCTCTACCCATCGACATCGTGGCATTCCTAAGCCAGACGTTGAACCGATCTCGCTCAAGGTGGTAATCCTCAAGGATCCACCACAGAGGCTGGCAGATGAACTGGCATTCACATTCTTGCTGGCGACTAGGAAGCCAGTGGTTGCATTGCCCGCAGGCGTTGTGAGGGACACCTCCGTTCGGCAACCACTCTCGGGCCCAAGATCGACCAGAGAGATAAGTGGCGAGGAAGTTCTTTGTATCGGCCTCCCTCAGTCTCCAGAGGAAGCGGCGGTAGCTCATGAACCTATGGTTGTCCTCCCTGATTTCGAGAAAGTCCTGCCACATTGCGAGCTCTTCTTCGATATCTGCATCGTAGGGGGCCCGGCATGCGTCAGCGCGATGCTGCAGTGCTAGGAGAGGTCCGCGCAGTTTAGGAGACACGCTCTCAGGGTCGGTGTCTCCAAGGAAGTCGAATATCTCCTCAAGCCGCTCACGGCGCTCCTCAAAAGTGGGAAGGTTATGGGCGTCCATGTTGATAGGTTTGAGT